TCACAACTCTCGGCCTGAAAAAGTATTAATAAATATTTTGTTTAAATTCTTTTATTAACTCGTTTTACTCACTTCAATACTTACATGACTCCAATTTTATCAAATAAATTTAGTATTCTTAACTGTTTGGACTGTCTATCACTTAAAAATGGCGACCCGCTTGCAAGCGTTAGAAATGGAACAGCTGATAAGATAAATATCGTAAGGCAATACCAAATTTTAACGATACACGATAAACGATAACTGTCGGATTTCATACGATAGACATTGATTCGTAATACGGCACAACAGAATGCAAGGGTTTATCGTGTATCGTATGGATTCATAATAAGGGGGTAAATTTTATAAACGCAAACTCCAACGACGAAAAAACACCAATAGAAGGATGAGTGATTAAAAAGTATTCACAGTCGCTAATTGAGCGATTAAGCGACACCCACAATAGCATTGATTAGAGCTGCAAAACTATCGATAGTCGGACCATTCGATATTTTCGATAGTTAGAAAAAAAAACCATCGATACTATCGATAGTATCGTTTTCATTTATTTATTTAAACAAGTCTTTGGCAGCTACATCTTTTAATAAACATACATATGAAATACACGATATTTTTGTTTATTACATTAATTTGTATCAATTCATTTCTTTTTATAAAAGAAAAGTATATTAAAAAATGAACAAACAGTTGCATATAAATTAAAGTATAAAAATATATATACACACATTAATGCGAGATCATAGGGATATTGAGTCTCTTTTTAAGGCGAATTGGATTTGCTTTTAAAGCTTTGTAATATAAAAAAATTTAGTTTAAGAAAATGTATTAATGTAATTGAGAGATCCAAAAATTTTTGTTAAGAAATACAAGCATGTCCACATTCTTTGCCTTTAAAGAAGCTATGATTTGCTATGATGCCTGCTCTGCTGAACATCCTTTCAGATTCTGTGGATGTGGCTGGAACGCAAAGAAATCGAGCAGCGCACGCTTTTGTAAAAGAATCATTCGGAAGGCACTGAAAATAATAAAATATTGAGTGAGAACAGTTCTTGGTTCATAATATTAACACAAAATTTTACTTTCCAATATTCCAAGGGGTCACTGCCCTGAGGAGAATGTGGATTCTCCAAATATTGCCGTAAGGTGACAATCGCATCGACCCGATTAGTCCTCGCCATGCTCGCTATATTTCTTTCAAGGAATCCAAATAACGTTTGCTGTGACGGCCCAGGCTTTTCAATTAGTGTTGGCGGTTCTGGGGCACCAATGCCTGGAGAAAGTTGTGTTCTCTGCACCTTGCTTACAGCTGCAAGCTCATTTTCTAGAATTTTTCCAGGCTCATTAGCATTAAAAGGAGAAAAGAAGCTCAATCATAAAGATGCACGCATCAAGTCCTTCAGCAGTTCTGAGATTCGTTTTAAGGTTTTCTAAAGTATGCAAAAGACCACACACAAGCGGTATGACTAAGGAGATCGTAACTGTGGAACTAGAGGATGATTGCATAGTGGCATTGTCAAATGGTGAAAGTAACTGCATCAAATGTTGTAATAACGCAACTTCGTCTGCTGTCAAAGGTTGTAGTGCTTTTGATATATTGAGCAGAACTTTTACAATTGCATCATTTGTTAATAAAATACGACCAATCATCAGGTATGCGCTGTTCCATCGTGTCGCCACTTCCTGTTTTAAGCTATATTTCTTCTCTG